TAAAAAAAAAAAAAAAAACCTTCTGAAAATGATCTTACCATATGACCAAAAGGACCAGAATAGAATAAAAAATATTTTTTCATAAAAAACTTAAAATTTCAGCCACACAAATATTTATTCAAAATGTTTACAGGAGCAGTAGTTATAATAGTCCAGTGGTGGTTTGTGTTAATTTTCAACCTGACAAAGTCTAGAATCTTCTAGAAGAAAGGCTTCATGCACACCTGTGAGAGGTATTTGCATTAAGCCTCTGAAAAGGACTCTGGGAGATTTTCTTGATTGTTTTCTTTGAGATGAGGAGACTGACTCCCAGTGAGCAGCACCAGCCTCTGGCTGGGATCTTTTACTGTGTAAATGGGGAAGGGATGCTTAAGGATGCTCAGCAGCAGCAGCCATCAGTTTTCCCTTGCCTCTTGACTGTGGATTTAATGTGATGTAATTTTCCCACCACGATAGACTATAACAATGATCTGAGAGCCACAATAAACAGTTTCTTCTATTGCTTTGTTTCTGCCAGTATTTTATCAAAACAAGTAAGACAACCACAGACTAGAGACACATATCCTTCCCTGTGAAAAGTTAAGAGTGGTACTCCATTCAATAAAAAAATCTTACTAGCAATAACAACAAAATATTATATATCCAACAGTCGAGTTGAATCTTTGGAAAGATTAGAGAAAATATCTTGATTTGAAACATCGCATGGTATATTGTTATTTATTTATATACCATTTACATGGCCAAATTGTTGGGAATAGGTTAATGATTCTGAAATAAAATGAATTAATAAAGTTGACTTAAAGATACGTGAAAATATAAATAAAGATATAAAGATAATGTAGCAATACTATACCTTATTAGAGGGAGGAACATCTTTCTTTTTTTTTTTCTTTTTTTTTCTTTTCAGAATTTTTAATTTGAATTAGAAACATGATTGTTTTACATGCCAATCCCAATTCCCTTCTCACTCCGTCCTCCCCTACCACCACCACCCCCCTGCAACTAAAACCCTACCTATCACATATCTTTTCTTCTATTCTTCCCCTGACTCAACCTTTCTGCTCCCTCATGACCTCTGCATCCTTCCTCTTCTTCCCTCCTCATTCTAGTAGCTCCCTCCCCCCTCTTCCCATGCTCTCAATTTGCTCAGGGGATGGTGACCCTTCCCCCTTCTCCAGGGGACCATATATGTCTCTCTTAGGGTCCTCCTTGTTTACTATCTTCTCTGTCAGTGTGGATTGTAGGCTGGTAATCCTTTACTCTATGTCTAAAATCCACACATGAGTGAGTACATATCATGTTTGTCTTTTTGTGATTGGGTTACCTCGCTCAGAATGGTTTCTTCTACTTCCATCCATTTGAGGAATTTCTAAATTGACTTTAATCAAGCCTATTTCCCCATTTCTCTGTGTTATCACAAGAAAGTTATGTAAAACTAGGTAAATATAATGTTGGATCTCTCCATATTATATATATATATACACATATATACAATTATTTCAGAATAAAAAGTTTTTAAAAATAGTGTATTACTAACCCAATAATACAGCTGTAGATCTCAAATTGCTATAGTCTACAAGTACAAAACCTCAGGAGGTTTATATATCAAATGAAGTTATAACTATTTAGTTAATTAAAAATATGTCAACAAAATAGGGAATAGATTAGACAAACAGAAAAAAGAGCAATATAAATTATTTTAACATAATTTTATCAATTAAATATGAATGTTTTTCATCATAATTAGAATGCAGAAATCATTAGAAATAGGTCCCAATTACATGCTGCATACAACTTATACATTTCAAATCAAAAAACATAAAGTAAAAAAAAATAGAGAATATATATATATATATTTTATTTATATAATATTTCTTTGAGACATCAACAATACAGCAATATAACAAAGAACTGTAAATAAACCTATACCAGTATCAAGAATTAATTATTCAAATATGTAAAAGAAGTTTAATATAAAATTATTGTCTCTCTATATAAGCCTGTATTAGCTAAATCGTTGTATAGGTTAATATTGAATTGACCAGATACTTTGTTAACATTACATAGGCTGTGTCTGTGAGAGTGTTTTTGGACGATTTTAGTATTTGAACTAATAGACTGAGAGAAGTTTGTTCTCTTTACAGTAGAGGGGAAATATATGTTCTTTTAAAGACCTGAATAGAAAAAAAATGGAGGAAAGAAACATCTCTATATTTAACTGCTTTACTAGAGCACTGGTCTTCTGCCATTGGGAAGAGACTGAGACCCTATTGCTTATTCTCTGGACACAGATGTGAACAAATCAACTCTGACTTTGTTTTTCTTGAATCCCAGGTCTTTGAACCCACGTAGAATACACCATGGACAGGTGTATTGTTTTATTCAGTTTTATCTGAATGTGTTGTTTATATATATATATATATATATATATATATATATATATATATATGTTGACATACATATATATGTGTATGTGTTAAATAATAAATAATTTGTGCCAGGCGTTGGTGGCACATGCCTTTAATACAAGAACAAAATTTTTGTATGTTAAAGAGAAAGTGTTCAGGGCGGGAGAGATGGCTCAGGGGTTTTGAACACTTACTGCTCTTCCAGAGGTCCTGAGTTCAATTCCGAGCAACCACATGGTGGTTCACAACCATCTGTAATGAGATCTGGTGCCCTCTTCTGGCATGCAGTATATACATGATAAATAAATAAATCTTAGAAAAAAAAAAAAAAGAAAATGTTTTATAGCTGGGCGGTGGTGGCACACAACTTTAATACCAGCACTCGGGAGGCAGAGGCAGGCAGATCTCTGTGAGTTTGTGACCAGCCTGGTCCACAACCAAGCCCCCTCTTCTAACACCTAGCCCATACAGTATTAAGAGATTGTTGGAGGTCCTAGTAGGGGAGCACAGCTACCGATACCTTTGACCAAAGACCAGTCCTCTATTCGGGGAACATCATCTTCTTCCACAGAGTGCACAGCTTCGGGTAGGAATAACCCATTTGATCTTGTTTTTTGAGGAGATTTTAGTTCACAGATTCTCCCCAAGAATAATAAATTCAATAAAACATGTACTTGTAGAAAATATTTTATCTAACTACTGTTACGCAAGTCAGTAGTAGATCTTAAAATAAATTTATAATCTAATTGACACTTATCTTAGACAGTTTTCTACTGCTGTGAAGAGACACCCTGACCATGACAGCTCTCATAGAGGACAGCATTTAATTGGGGCTTGTTTCCAGTGTCAGAGGTTTAGTCCTTTGACATCATGGCAGGGAGCATTGGTGGTACAAGCAGACATTGTGCTGGAAAGTAGTTGAGAGTTCATCTTGATCCACAGGAAGAAAGAAAACAAAGATACTGGGCTTGGCAGAAAGTTTTTGAAATCTCAAAGCTCACCCCCAGTGACATACTTCTTCCAAGAAGCCCACATCTCCTAATCCTTTCCAATAGTGCCACTCTGTAGTGACTAAGCATTCAAAACTATGAGCCTATGAAGGCCATTCTAACTTAAACATAAAATAGAACCTGAAGAAAAGAATGAATGTAAATATAAATGAATGTAGTGTTTGTGAGAATATGGAAGGTTATAAAATTATTCCATTAGTATTTTTTTTAATATTCCTGTTTTAAAAGTGGCTGAGGGTGTAACTCAAAGAGGACATGAGTTTCATTCCTCGCACCATAAAAATATTTTTAATTTCTGAATTTTTCTTTAGATCTTTGCATTTATTTTATGATTTGTATATATTCAAATTCTCATGAATAATTATTTCAGTTTGCTGAATATTCTTTGTACATGTTTCTATACATAGCCTAACTTTATTAACACCTGAGTTACACAATAGAAGATCCCTGCAAATATTATCTTATTTCTATTCATAATTTTTTGTTTGGTTTTTCAAGACAGGGATTCTCTGTGTAGCTTTGGATCCTGTCCTGGCAATTGTTCTGTAGGCCAGGCTAGTCTTGAACTCATGGGGATCTGCCTGTCTCTACCACCCAAGTGCTGGGATCTAAGTCATGCACCACAATCACCAGGCTTCTATTCATAATTTTCAAATTTTAACTTATTTATTTGTGTGTTGTATGTTCATATGTGTACATACCAAGGTTCCTGTGGTAATCATGGAATATCTTGGGTAGTTCAGATCTCTTAGATGGAATGCAGGTCATCAGACTTGGCAAGCATTCTTACCTACTGATCCATTTGCCTGTGCTATTTCTATACTTTCTCCCTCTTCCTATATTCTCTTTATCTTACCCACTTCCATTTATTTAAAAATAATTTTGCTAATGATACAATTCTTCCATTTCTTTCTTAAACCCCTCATGTGGAGTTTAAAGGAGAGGTTTTCTGGTGTATTAGTGAAATGAAATTTTGGCTTGGAAAAGGCGTCATGCTCTTTACTTTGGATAGTTGGTGTCAACCACCTGTCCTCCCTTTGTGTTCAATTAAATGAAAGTATTTTGTTTGTTTAGTCTTATGGAAAATGCTACTTTGCTATACAAACATAGCAACTGTGTGGATTGAAGAAGTTGAAGGAAGAACGGTGGATGGCAAATGGGTAAACACTCAAAGTGATTTGACACTTAACTCTTAAACTAACTCCTTTAAAACTATTCAGCATTGCATTCATATTCTCTCTCTCTCTCTCTCTCTCTCTCTCTCTCTCTCTCTCTCACACACA